CCTCTTCCCCGGGCCAGCCAAGAGAGGTTAAGTGAGTGACCGGATGGGGTACCCAACTGGGATAGGCGAACTAGGGTCCTTCAACCTCTGCTGGCAGGGCCCGGAAAAGAGTCGAAAGAACAAAGGAACACCCACCCCGGATGACGTAGGCAACTGAACCACCTCACGGGCGAATACGTGGATGATCGTGGATGGCATGGCCCCCGATGTTCGGCATGCTACTCCAACAGGTGGTGCATTCACTCCACGTCTCCAGCATGGACCCTGGGAGTCCAGTCGACTAGACGGGGACCTGACGAACGGGGACCTGAGTTCGGGAACTTCCTTTGCCGGTCAAACTATCCTCCAGCAGTCACAAAAGGGATGCTATCCATGGAGGTAGTCGGGGTGCCCAGCTACTCCACTCACTGGATGGGACTAAACACCACCCCGACATGTGACTGCTGGCTCTTAGGACTTCTAGGCTCGAGTCCTCCATGATCCATGCGGGCCATGCCGCCGCTTCCCCACCACATCGCCTCCACCGCCCTCGACCTCCCTGCCGCGCGGCCGCTCGGCGTACTCCCCGACGATCCACACCATGGCCGCTTTGGCGTCCGGCTCGTCCAGACCTTTGGCGGCTGGAGGAGGCGAACCCAAACACCAGGGAGGGAGGCCGCGGAGGCCTCGGAGGGGCCTGCAGTGGATGCTTTTGGGCCACGGATCCGCTTCCTCCCGGCCCTAGCCTATAGATGTGGCCAAGTTCATTGTTAACAGACCCAGCATGGCCTGCTCCCTAGATGAGAAGGATGCTATCCCCATGAATTTGGCCTCACATAGCATGAAGAAGCAGTGTTTGACCCAAAGAATTTACACTACCAAATGTCAACGATTCTTTAGATGGAAGGCTAGGGTAGATGTTCGTAGCCATCCCCATCATCCCTCTCGAAATTTCCACACCTTCTGGGGGTTAGAAGCAATAATACAGATTCGTGCAGCCGCCATTGATTTGAACGTATTTTGTGGGTGCCGAACAACCGAGCTCTGGTTGTAGTAAGGAAATGAAAGATAGACGACAAAGCCAGGTCAACCATGATTTTCGATGGCCTTGGAAGGCTAGGGTTACAACTTCCCTGCTTACTCTCTCCTTCGTCTTACTCTATGTTCATCTATGTTCGCTGCGCACAAGTAGCTGCCATGACGCAACTGCCAACGCAACTGCTGTCGTTGCCGAAGCAACCGCTGTCGCGCGCGGTCGTTGCTTCAGCCCAAGAGGCTGTCGAGATTCTCGCAGAGATCCGAAATGATGATCTCATACCTCGGGGAACCCGACACAACCAACGGAGGTTGAAGGACCCTATAGCCTGTCCCATATATAGGTACCCCAGTAGGGTCCTAGTTCAGGTCACTTAACCTCTCTTGGAATGCACACTCCAAGATGATGAGTCAAACCAGAAGTCACAGAGCTCGGGGTGGTGTGGCTGGTCCCCAAGTGAGTGGATGTGACAGGGGCAGCCCGACTACCTCCATGGATAGCACCCCGTCGAACGTGACTGCTGGAATGTATGTCTGAATATGGAATACAGGGGTGACATACTCCAGGATGAATTGTTGTTAGTCGCAGTGCCAAACATCAAAGGATTCAGCCATGCATGTGTGATTTGGGTGTGGGTCAAAACCACGATGCATTGGGCACGACCTATCTGGAAGGCTGGAAGGTCAAGCTACATGGTGTTAGGGGCTCCAGGTGTTCCGATTTCTTCAAACTCACCCCATTCCCCGAGCCCATTCCCCGCGTCTGTTCCTTCACCCTCATGGCTCCACACCTTGACAGATCTCAACAGCATCGCCCCCAGCATTCAATGATCTTGACTGCCAGGCACATCAGACAACACCAGACCACCCTCAAGAGCAGCATGACAACCCGAACCGCCCGTCTCCGCCCGAACCGCGTCTCCGCCCGAACCGCGTCTCCGCCCACGCACGTGTTTCCGGCGGCGGCACTTCCCGGGATACTTCCGAAAGATGTCGCGGATCACGACGATGGCCTCCTGCACCACATAGTTCACCTCGGCGTCGAAGGAACGAAGCAACGCGGGTTTTCCGCCGCCTCGAACGAATCGAATCGAACGGTGCCGATGGGAACTGGTCCTGCGCAAAAGTCTCCAAGGTTTCAGGGAAACCCACAGGGACACAGGGCCTGTGGGAGGGTGCGGGTGGAATCACCTTAATCGATTAAAGGCAGGTGATCCCATGGGTCTATATTCCTTCAGTTTACCAAATCACCTCGTCGCAACCACGAGACCAGAAGCGCCATTCTGCCACTCACGAAGGAGTTGCAACTTCACCCCTACAAGGTCCAGGTGCTTGGGCCCTGGCAAGCCTGGTGCGACTGACCTCCTTGAGTACTAGTAAAGCCTGGTTTCCCGGGCCTGACCTGTAGAGCACCAGTCCTCTCCGGGGTCCATCTCTGGCACCATCTCTACCGACCCCCCCAAAGACCTGCACGCCACAAAGGCTTTCTTCAGCTTTCAGCATGTGCGCACCCCCAGGCACCAGTGGATGTCCATGGATTGTCCATGGATGTGCTGCGTCATTAAGACCTCCACCCGCGGTCGGCGGAACCCCTCCGCCCGCGTCGGAGGCCGCCGCCGGCGGAACAGCGAGGGCCGAGTTCGCGCCTTGGTCTTGATGAGCTCCAACAAGCAATCCACGCAGCGCTCGGCCGCGCGGTCGATCTTGATGGCCGCCTGGGACCAGTCGTGGAAACGGCGAATTGGGCGGAAGGTGGGAGGAAGGTGGTGGGCTTTGGATTGAAACAGTTCTTTTGGGGGAACATCCTTTAGAGTCGCCATTTACATAGCAAGTGGTTGTTTGGGGAGACATCCATATGTTACAGTGGACCTTCAAAGTGACCCATTAAGATCCCAGTGGTTAAGGTCACAAACAGGCTTAGGCTCAGGTCACAGACCGGCTCAGGTCCTGGTAACTCCTTGCCACCCCCCCCCCCCCGCCAGGACACCCACTCTCGCCCGCCTGCCCCAACCGCCCCAACCGCCCCAACCGCCCCGCTCGGCTCCGACCGCCTGTCCGATGGCGCGCACGGAGTGGCGCACCACGGTGATGTCGACCTGCGAGGGTTCCGCGGTCGACCGAGGTGAGAGGCCACGTGGAGAGCGGGATGGCTGTGGCGAGGCGGGCACAGTCAGGGTGACTGTAGACCCTAGCCCTACAAGTCCAAAGGCCCAGTAAAACCAGGTCGTTTGCTTGCTTGAATAGTGCTTTTGTATGACCAACTCCAGTAAAATGAGGTCATTGACCTGCAGGGTAGGCTTGGCTTCTTGGCTTCCAAGACCATCAAAAACCAAGAACACGAATCAAGACAGGTGACACGAAGAGCAACTTCCTGAAACCTTCAGAGGGGCAAAACAGAGTCGTCTTTGGACTTATTCCATTGCTCGATGAGCATTCACCATCTCAGCTCCCTAAAATTCGAATCAAGGAACGATTGACATTGGCTCAGCGTTCTTCCATGAAGAAATCATATGCGTTGGGAAGTCATATTGCCCTCCACGTGGCTTCTGGGTCGCCCCCACCCACACCCACGTGCCCCCCGCCAGCACATCGGTTCCAGTCCGTCGGCCATTTTGCGCCCACCGCGGTGGAGCCACCGTGGACAGTCGAGCTGTCGGAGGCTGTGTGTGGAGGCTCGGCGGGGCCTGTGTCACGCAGGCCCCGAAGCAGCATGAGCAGCATGCATCGAATCGATCCCATGTCCCTCCGAAAACGGTGACCATGTTGTGCATTCATTGTTGGTGAAGTCGGTGCAATACACATCATAGGTGGAAAATGTGGATTAAATTTGGATAAGTCATGATAAAATCCTTTGGTCCCATGAACAATCCCTCATGTTCACTCGTGTTCTTGCCAACCCCCGGCACAGGCCCCTGCACGCAGGACCCAAGTCTCGCCGCCAGTCTCTGCAAGCGACGGGCACGAGCTACAGAGCCGGCTGAGCTCAGGAAGTGGTTCCAATCCTCTTTCTTCTTCTTCTTCTTCTTTTCTGTTCTGGGATCTATATACATGGCGTTTTCCCCAAGGGCTTGGCATCTGGTGTCAGGTTCCAATCTGAAGGGGCAGAAGTGGTCCAACTCAGAGGACAAATTCCTTGACCTGGATGTTCTGTCCAGGAACAGTGACCAAAATATTCCTCCGTGCCAGGGGGCTCACTTTTTTTCGGGAAAATGAACATAAGCAAAACGTGCTTCAGGATCATCAAATGAAGTGGGAGTGGGAGGTGGAAGATTGTGAGCCTAAGAGCCTCCGGGTATTGCTGGCCATCGCAACTGAACCGCCTCCTGTCAGCTGGCCGTAGCCTTTTCAGAGGCTCTGGAGGCCCCCAAAACGAAGATCCAGCACCGCATGCCCCTCGAATCCACGAAGCAAGGCCTCTGCAGCCTGAACTTCCGTCCTTCTCCCTCCTCTCGGTGGGTCACTGCTTAACGATCCGTAGACGTTGTTTCTCTCCTGCTGGGTCCAAGCCCCCACCGCTTTGGCCCGAGTTTGGGGTCGAAGGTTCCTGCCTCCCAAGGACCTCCTTTTCGGGTCACCGTAAAGCCTTTTGGACCACTTTCCAGGACCTGAGCCGTTCGTGACCTCTTCAAGGATTGGTAAATGACCTTGCCTAAGTGACCTCAGCCACTGGGATCTCACAGTCGGTCACTGGGAAGGTCCTGGTTCAAAAAACTCGACTGGACTCATATGTATAATATGGTCAAACTGGCTGGCCTCCCTTTCTGCACTACACGCCCATAGGTAGTAACTAGTCCCTAAATGTCCCTAAGCCTTCCAAAACGAGTTTTAAAGTGCTGACTGACCTCGTTTTGTGATGTAAAATCAGTGAAGCAATGGTTGTTCGGCCAAGATATTTGTCAATGGTTGTTTGAAGCATCTGGGTGGTGCTTGGACTGCTTCTGCCTCATCTGGGACGGGGCGAGCGGCTGGGTCTCTTCATGGAGCCCTCAGGTCAATGTGCTGTACAATGCTGCCTTACAAATCCCACAGTTGAAGGCCAGCTTCCCATGCCCACAATCGTTGCACACCGCGCAGAGGCGTCTCACCTGCATGATCTGCTTTGTGATGGGTTTGAGGGTGTGCTTCCTGGAGCTGTCCCACCGGGGAAAAAAAAAGAAAACAGTCTTCTTTACTGGACAGCCAGGGGATTCACCCGCGTGTCAAATCGACCTCGTCCGAAGCAAAAACCAGTGCTGTCTTTTTCCTCCAACCACTGAAAGACCATCACATGTCCTGGAAGTCAAGCCGACCTTTTAAAAAACATGGGGAACGATCTGGTGCCCTGTAGTGCAAAAACCCCTTGGTGAAAGCTCGGTGGTTCGGGATGACCGGGCCATTCAAACCATGGTGGGCCACGACTTCTAGGGCAGGTCCATGGGGTCCGTTGGGGTCCGATCCGTCGTGCATGGGTCTACGGTCGTATCCAGGTCGTCATCCAGGGTCCTGTGGATGATGGGGCCTGGTGGCAGGCCTTGTTGAAGAGTGATGATGTTTGCGGACTATTAGAGGTCATAGGACAGACCCAAGGATGTCTTGGGCTTCAAGCCAGACCCCCGAACGGAAGGTGCTGGCCTGCGTGTGTGTGTGTGTTATACTTGCAGTCCTTTCAGAGAAATGCTGTCAAACATCAACTGTTTCAACCAAACCTGTCCGGGAGTCCACATTCTCGAACTTGGATGAACAGTGGCCTGGCTGGGTCTGCTATGGGTCTGCTCCACAACCCCAAAGGTTTAAGTACCAGGACCTTCTCAGTGACCTCTTCAGGATTGGTAAGTGACCTTTTCAAGGCCTAAGTGACGTCATTCTGGGATCTCAAAAGGTCACTGGGAAGCTCCTGGTATACAATAATTTGTTTGTGACACATCCTCACAACTTTTCACGTCTACCTGGACCCTCCTGCCGGGGTGTCCTATCCGAAATTCATATAAGTAGTTTGGGGTAGTCCAGGCAGGATGGTCCTGGTATGGTGGGATGTTTGGGAGAATAGCTCATGCGGCTCATGCAGCTGGTTCTTGATCTTCCCTCCTGATCTACTACGAGGGGTTCGGCAGCTTCTGCTCGGTTTTTCGCCCATCATTGGCAAGGCCCAACAACTGGGCTCCACGATGCCTCGCGCCCCGGAATTTGAAGCAGTGATTGAGCCCCCTAGGCCTCCAGTCGTACCTTCTGAGGTTCGGTGGGACTGGGGGCCCGGGTGCCAGGAGGGCCAGTCAGACCGAACCTGAGGAGGTACGACTGGAGGTGTAGGGTAGTGGTTCGAATCCTGAACCACCGGTTCTTTGACCGAAGGTTTCACCACAACATCAGGTCTTTCCGTTTGGTTTCGCAAGGCTAGGGCCTTAGGGTATCAACTTCATGAACCTTTGAACCGAGTACCCCCACCTGCTTCCAATGCCGAAGCCCGCACCCACCATCACTTCGAAGAAATCCCAGCGGAAACCCGCACCCGCCCGCGCGCGGGCGCGCGCGCCCACGTCCCGGCCCACCTTCCCATGTGGGCATCCATTACACTCGGCACAGGAGGCCCGACGCTTCCCATGCGGGCAGCTGTTGCATTGCTTGCAGCTCTGCTTGGGCTCTCCGTGTGGACAAGGATTGCAACGACCACAGAAGCGACGGACCTACCGAAGTCGGTCCAGTCCGGTCCGGCCCGGTCCAAGCCGAAGGGGACCCGGCTTGGAGCCATTGGTTGGAAAAAAGCACGTGGACCCAGGTACTTTGAGGTTTTTTTTTCAAGTCTCAGTCAGTTTGAAACCGTTGGGTAAAACATGGTAAACCATGGTAAACACTATAGTAAAACAATGGGTACGTGTGGTATTTAACCCTTGCAATCCATGCGACCGGCGATTCAAGCGTGGCGTCTTTTTTTCGGACCAAGCGTGAAGTCTTCGGCCAACATGCCCCTGCGTGGTAGGGCCCGATGTCAGTCTGCATGTTAGGGAACGTATAACACAAAAGAGAAAGTGTGTAAGTATTCCACCCCCTAGTCCATCCACGTCCGCTCCAACCATCATGCGCAAAGCACGCGCCTTGCCATGCGGACAGCCATTGCACGTGCTGCAGCTGTTGCGCACCTTGCCATGCTCGCAGGCCGTGCACTCGCGGCAGGCCTGCTTCCTCGGACAGACAGCAGCATCGGCGTCAAGCCCCGGCGCCCCGTTCGGAGCCCCCAGAGTCCGCCAAAGCAAACGTGGGATAGTAGGCTTTGAAGCCCTCCCCTTCCCCCAAAAACATGAACTCCGGAAGTCCTGAAGTCATAAGATGTCAGAATGTGACCGAACTTCAAAAATGGAACGTTTCTTTTCACCCGAACCCTTAAAAAACAATCAGACTCTCCCGGCAAAAAAAGCAAAGAGGAACGAGCCAAGCGGCAGCCTGCCATGAGGACACGGGTTGCAGGTGCCGCAGAAGCGCCGGATCTTTCCGTGCGGGCAACCCTTGCATTCGCTGCAGGCATCCCTCAGCTTGCCATGCTCACCTCGGACTTGGAGTCTCAGCTCGTAGCTCTTCCTTTCACCAAGACCATTCAATTAATGGTCTTTGGGCGAGCGTGTGACCCGAAGAGGAGCTTCCAAATATCTCATTTGTGCGATGTTGTGGGTACGGAAAAAATAATGAGAAAGACACTCTCCGGAAGTTTCATGACTGGAAAAGAGACAAAAGTCTTTTGCCAAACCTAGAATGCATTGCTCTTTGGGGGTGTTTGGACGTTTGCAGTTGTTCAAGGATCCTGGAGAACAAAATGGGAGAACCCTCCTTTACAACTGAACGTTCAGGATCAGCACAGAGACATTTGGCTCCAGCCCTCAACGCTCCCGTGTCCCAAGAATTCCTCACCATGCGTTCTCAGTGACGTGAACTTGGATTTGCTGTCTAGGCAGGTAGGAAAAACACAGAACATCTATCTTCTCCAAAGAGGGGATTCGCTCAACAGGAGCGTCAACGATTCTTTTGTTGACCGCTCTGGGTTCAATTGGCACCTGATGGCGGCTCCAAATGGAGAAAAAGAACCGATGCTCCTCCCGATGCGCAATTCCAGCAGAGGTGGGTCAGAACCCTAGCTCGACTATCCTATAGGTACTGCTGTAGGGTCCTATTTACGGTCACTTAACCTCTGTAGGTTCACCCAGGTGTTGCGGATCGCAGCTCATCTGATCGAGCAGTGCACCTATGATCGCTGCGACACTCGCAGCTGCAACCCACTCGCGATGTGGCAAGCCACGGAGAAGGGCAGGAGGTTGGACCAAGGGACCGACAGAACTCTGGGAGCACGGAGGAATCCCTAGAGATGCACGGAGGTACCTTCTCAGGTACGGTGATTGGAGGCACTGGTATGTAGGTGCCAGGAGGGTCCAGTCGTACCTTCTGAGGTTCGGTACGACTGGATCCCTAGGGAATCTTCTGATCGATGTTCTGATTGCTTCGCATTTCACTCCCAGCACCCGACTCTGCTAGTATATAGGTCACCGAGACGGAGGAGCTCCGCCGAAGGACCTCTTGAGTCGGGTTTCTGCTTCAACCTCCGAGTCCGGAACTTTCAGGACTCGCGGAATTGGGACTCTGGACACAATGGAAAGGACCGAATTTCACGTGTCGCCTACAGGCCAATGACCGCATTTGACTGGGCCATGATCATACAAAAACACCAATAATGACTTATATGTGCCAGCAGTCACAAGGGGGTGGTGTTTAGTCCCTAAGTGAGTGGAGTAGTTGGGCACCCCTAACCTCCATTGAGCACCCCTTTGCGACTCCTGGTATGGTAATCTCAAGACCAGGCTTTCCTGGGTCAGACTGGACGGGTCGAGGGGTAGCATGGTTGCTGCGGCTGAACCCGTGGCCCGAGGTCCGTGTCACCAAATTCGGGGGCTGAACAAACCACCCAGTTGAGCCAACGTGCACGGCAACGCACGGAGTGCGTTGGCCAAGCTGAAGGCCCAAACAGATCCCAAGACCAACCAACAGAGGTTGAAAGACCTTATAGGACCCTGTAGTGGAACATATGGGATGGGCTATAGGGCTGTTCAACCTCTCTTGGAAGACGTGGTGAACTGCACGGCCATGGTTCTTTTGCAGTGTACAGAGTGTGCTTCACTTTTTGGAGCTCAACCGAATGGAATCTGATGGTCTTGGAGGTATTCTCTTGACCCATGTCCATTGGGAATATCCCAGTGAACATCCTTCCATGTCACTTACACCCAAACCTAACACATCCAGGACACACGTCTTGCACTGGGGGCAGTTCTGCTTCCTGCGGCCATGAGGACCTAGGAGAGACTTGCGATTCAACTGCTGCTGGCCTGCCCGAAGTTAAGGCCATGATTTTGCCATGGAGTCAGTCAGTGGGAAATTGATTCAATTCAGGTCCATGGCGAGTCTCATGATCAAACCGCATCAAACTGGTTCCTTTTTTGCCCACTTCATTTCCACATTTGTTGGTAGATGAAGGGTAGGGAGTGGTAGGCTCAACCTGGAAGTCCGACTAATTTGGCACCACCTAAGGATTCAGGACATCCCGTGTCACCAAACCACTTTTAAGATCCCTCTAAATTCCAAGAACCATTGCTAGGTCAAGCATTCTTTTGATAGTAAAACTGAAGGCTAGCGGCTAGGGATATGAATCAAATTGGTGTGCGAGCCGGGAGGCAAGGGTTGCAAGTGCCGCAGAAGCGCTTGACGCGGCCATGCGGGCAGCCACTGCAGAGCTTGCAGTTGTGCGGCAGTTTCCCATGTGGACACCCTGCGCACTTGGGACCTCAGGAAAAAAAGGCAAGAACCAACAACCCCATTGAAGCGATTGAAGCTATTGGTCGATCTCCAATCTGAGCCAACCAAAAACAAGGCGGCACATGAGAAGCCTTGAACGCGTCCAATCATCTGGGACTTGGTATCTTGCGTTTTCTCACGATCCAATGGGCAGATCCTCATTTCCCAAAATGGAATCCAAGGAGTGCGCGTGTCTTAAAGTAATGTGGAGAGTCTGGAGCCATTGAGTTCTGCCCGGAAAACCGAACTTAACAGCTTCATTGAGGGATCTTTCAGAGTGTTGGGACCTTCCAGAGCTGAGCAAAGGTGCCAAATCCCTGCCCCTGCCTGACCTCCTCAGTCTCCTTGGAAAAACAAGGTTAGTTATATCACCTGTTTCATCCTGTTTCCATCTATTCATACTATATAAGTATATATACTGAGTGTGCAAAATGAACCTCCCTCCCAAAAAAATGCTGTTGCTCATTCACTTGATCATCCTGGGGCGTTTGCTCTCAGAACTCCCTCCTCCTTCGCTCAACCCTTCGCTCTGCAAAAGTGTTGCAGTCCCGTTCGCTCTCGTTCGCTCTCATTTCAGATTTGCTGTCTCGAGCTGTAGGATAAATCTTCCCAAACATGTTTACCCGGTTCGGGAATGATCCGCAACACCCAGATCCGGACTGATAAAACCACTGGATCAACCAAATCCCCCCGTGATCCGCAAGCCCACCAAGAGTTGTTCGCTCAACCCTTCCAACCACAGCGGCAGTGGGCACGGTCCTTGCCGTGCTCGCAGGGTTGGCACTGGGGGCAGAAGCGCGGCAGCTTCCCATGTGGGCATCCATGACCTCAGACCCATGGGGCGGTGGGGTGGCGCTGGCGTAGCCGGTTGCACCGTGGCGAGGCGGGCGGCCGATTGGAGCCCTGCGGCTTCCGAGCGGCCCACCACTTTTGGTTTAAAATAGTGTTTGACTGGAAACCAGAGAAGAGATGCCAGTCAAACACTATTTTAAACCAAAAGAGTCTCACTAGAGCTCAGTATTCGTGAAAGGAAAGTGTTTGACTGAACAACCCATGTTCCGTCGGGTTCCCGGTCGACAGGCGCCTGATGTTCATACCATATCGACTCGTAAGGAGGTGATCGCCGTGGTGTCCGAACGAACCACCCCATGCCCGGCCCCAGGGGGGCAGGTACCCCATGGGGTTTACGTAAGGAGTTGGCACGAACCACCCCGTCTTCGGTTCGTCTCGATGCTTCGGCCCCGTTCCCAAAACCCGTAAAGGCTTTCCTCCTCTTCGGCGAAGCGCAGCGCCGGTTCAAAGGCATCCCCAAAACAAAACGAATCGGCCGGACGGTCCAAAACGAAAGGAGGAATTGGCGTTCAACGCTCCGGGCGGCAGGTGAGGCAGGTGAGCTTGTGCACGCCATGTTTGCAGACGTTGCACGAGGCACAGTGCTCTCGCACCTTGCCATGGGGGCCTCAGAGCGTCGCCAAATCAGGCAGGCGTGGGGCTGCAATAGGCTGGGGCAGCATTCAAGAATACAAGTGAGGAATGGTAAAAGGGCGGACCACCAAGACCAATCTTAGACACACCATGACACAACATACATCAACCAGATCAAGCCAGATCAAGCCAGGTGCTTTCTCTGATCACTTCGTGAACCCATCGACTTGATCTTCCATGGCCCAGAGGACCCAGAGTTCGGGCCGACCCCTTAAAGGCCGCCGACCGGAAGCGGTCTCAACGAGCTGGATCGGACCGTCCGGAAGCGGTTTCCGGTGCAGCCGAAAGCATTCGGTGGAACTGGACGTCTCGGGACGGTGGTGGAGAGTGGTTCCTCCCAACGGGGTCCGGACGTTCCTCGCACCCGGACGTCCAGCGCTGTGCCCCGGACGTTCATCTGGCGCTGGCGCTTGACAGAGCGCCGGACGATTGCTGTGTTTTTCTTGACCAAAGTCCGACACATCTGGTCTTGATTGGGTATATGTCCTATTGCTGTCAGCTCATCAGCGAAAGTCAATGGGTTAGATCCCACTTGGACTGAGGAACATTGGCAGTCGGTCAAACCTCACTTTACAAACCATGGAAGCTTGACAGTCCCCTATAATACATCTGTTCCTTTTCGGTGGTCAACCAGGGTTGCCCTGGTTTTGACCGGACAATTGGGAGATTCCACCGCCGGTCCCACTGAACGCTCGTTATGCTCGTTGTTCCCTCGTATATCCAAGCAGCAAGACTTACAGCTGGCGCAGTTTTGCCGTAGCCGGCCATGGGGGCAGCCATTGCACGTCAAGCAGCCTTGGCGTGGCTCGGCGTGAGCAGAGCGGACGAAGCTCGACGCAGCGGTTGCCGCCCGCGTGCGACGCTTCACATGGGTTTCGTCCTCGACGACGAAGGGACGGAGGGGCTGAACATCCAGTTGTTTCTCCCGGCTGAAGTCCAGTTCGACGACTATATGTCTTGACCGGCTGGAAGTAAAGGAAACAAGACGAGACGTCCCCTATAGTCAGACTGTTCTTTTGATAGTCGACTTGACGTCCCAGGGTATTCTGGTTGTTCAATTCTTCTGGGTGCCTGGACCTGAAAAAGGGGTGTTTCGATCGGACCTGCCCGGAGAGTAGTCTTCCGGCCAGGTGACCCCTTTGAAGGTGCTGGTGGGTATTTTCAATAGGGAAATTTCGGGAGACCCCGTTTCTCGCCCCTGGCTGGGTAGACTGGTCTAATTTGGGTCTTTGAGAGCTCCACCCACCATGGTTTGGTGGACAAACCACGCACATCCACGCACTATGTTCAAAGCCCACAAAAAAACCCAGCACGGTCCAAAACGCATGTTTTAACACACACCTTGCACTTGCACACAATGTTCCAAAAACATCAAAAAACCACCCTGAGTCCCTGAGTCATCGAGGTGTTTAATCTTCCGAACATCGCCTCTTCCATTGGCCACTTCATGGTCTTCCGAACATAGTCTCCGAATTCGACGTTGTAATTACTGTAGCAGGTGGTGTTCGAGGCCTCTGGGTGCCAAAACTCCATGGCCCTTCGTGCCATAGACCTTCCCGCTTCTTTCGTATTACGGATCCTTCCTACCACCCTGACTCCCCTAAGCTGACCACCGTTCTATGCGACCTCTGGGGCGACCGACCACCCCCGCGCCGCGGTGCACTCGTGCGGCCCGGGGTGCCGCCCTTGAGGCGTCCGTGCGGGCAGGGCGTGCAGAGGCGGCAGGCAGACTTCACCAGGCCATGCTTACCTCGAAGCGAGGTGGTGAACCAGCGAGCGAGCGGGAGCCCGGAACCGGGAAGGCTTGCGGGAGGCGTGCGGCAGGGACCAAAGAGGTCGAAGGAGATGCACCGGGAGGGAACGATTCTGATCAGCTTGGGCTCGGACATCGACCGGCCCAGCGACCGGCTTCGATCTGAACTCGTCGGACATCCCAAGAGAGGTTCTAAGTGACCTGAACTAGGACCTGTCACCTGGGGTACCCAACTGGGATAGGCGAACTAGGGTCCTTCAACCTCTGTTGGTCTGGCGAAGGGAAACCTCTTCGAAGCCACCACCCTTTTCAGCCCCTACCGGCTGCAAGAGCGCAATTCTTCTCCTTCGCCTTCCATCAGACTAGACTAGTCAGCGGCGAGTCGTTGGATAGAGAGACGACCAATGGGTTTTGATCCATTTCCCTCATTCCAAGGGGTTTTGGTGGGAGGTGTTCCATGGTTGTCCTATTGGATCGCCGAAAAAGAGACCCCCGGGCTTTAGAGTTCCAGACGTCTGGCAGTTGCAAAGAGATCCAAATGTTTAGAGGTGTTGAGATCCATTTAGGTCTTGAGATCCAAAACGATCTAGAAGTCCAGAAAGATCTAAACGCCAAAGATCCAGAGAGATCTTAAACGTCTGGAGGTCTAGATCTGGAGATCTACAAGCCGCACTTGAGATCCAGACAGGTCTTGAGATCCAATGACTGAAAGTTTCTAGAGATCTAGAGTTTGAGGTCTAGGAAATGGAGGAGAGGTCTAGAGGTCTAGAGGTCGGATGTAGGGATGGGTCTTGACATCCAAGAGCACTACATCTGAAGTTGAAAGATCTGAGGTTGAGGTCTTGGAGCTCTAGGTCTAATTAGTTGTCTAAAAGACCTACAGGTCTCAAGGCCTACAGGATCCTACAGGTCTAGAGTTTGAGAGGTCTAGAGGTCTAAGGACGTCTATGACAGGTCTTTAAAGGTCTTGAGATCCAGGACGAGTCTAGAGACCTCACAGGACGAGAGACCTGAGATCCACCAACAGAGGTGGGTCAGAACCCGACTGCTTCGACATCTATAGACGATCCCAGTTGGGTAATTCAGGTGGACCAGGTCCGATGTACGGTCACTGGCTACCTCTCTTGGCATGTCTTAAGATCAACCAACTCGCACCTGCCCAGGCTCCCTCTCATGCGCCCCCCCCCCCCACCCAGCTCAGCTCCAGTCGCATCCGCGACTCGTGCACATGGTGCAGACGTCGCGCAGCACCCCATGCTCACAGCCCGAGCAGATGGTACACCGCCGAACAAACCTCAGCCACAGGAACCAAGTCACAGGTTTTGGATGTTTTTGGGCGCCCCCAGCGAAGGACCCCTTCCTTGTGGGCACAAAGAAGTAGGGCACTTCAAACGTCTTTCGCAAACACGGATGATTTTTGGGGGGGGGTCGCCAAGCATTCCAACCACCAATGGGCTTTCATCGGATTTGCGGCTTTACCGAACAACCATTGTTCTACTAAAGGATTTTACACGACAAAACCCACCAGGAGTCACAGAGCTCGGGGTGGTGTGGCTCGTCCCATCCAGTGAGTGAGTGGAGCACCCCGTCTTCCTCCATGGAGTCCGCACCCCTTACCGAACGTGACTGCTGGCAGTCAACAACCTTTCCAACAGAGGTGGGTCAGGACCCGAACTAACCTATCCCATATAGGTACTCCAGGTGACGGAGTCCTAGTTACGGTCACTGGCTACCTCTCTTGGTTCGGCTTTCGCATCATCGGAACGCACAACGAACGCCGGGCGCGCCCCATCGTGGGCTCGTTGGTTCGGTCTTCGGCGCGCCCCTCGTTGGACGACCGGCGTTCGTTGAGGTTGGGTGCCCAGGTTGGTCGTGGCCCGACAAGCTGACCGGTGACCTGTATGTAGAGATGTTCGGGCCCTGGTGAAGTAGGTAGTATAGTAGAAGAACTTGATGGTTCTAGGGACATGCCAGGACCCAAAACAAGCACAACGAAGGCCTCAAGGTTGAATGAATACATCAAAACAAATAGACATCATTATACTGACAAATACCCCCCCGCGAAATTAACTCCAAAACCACGTGCTCAGTGCTCAGGGTCCATGTTGAGTTTGCGGAAGCGTCATCCAAAACGGCTCCTTTTGACCCCGCGTAGCTTCGAGAAAAGGTCTCTTTGGCATCACGGCTCCCTTCTTAGACGCTTGGTTCCCTGCCGGTGCGGAGTGGAAAACTGCCTCCCCAAGGTCGGAATGCTGCCCTCGGACTGGTAGGACATGTGACATGGTAGGACCCCATCACACCTGTGTGTGCACCAAAAGAGGTAGCCAGTGACCGTGAACGCGACCCGGAAAACCTGGGGTACCAGACTGGCATAGTCCAACTAGGGTTCAACCTCTGCCGTGCGCGCGTGTAGTGTGTAGCTCGCGCGGACGCGCGGAGGGCCATCCCAGACGTGTCAACGACCCCGCCGACCTGGCGCCGGGCCAGGGTGCTATGGAACATACACATCCAGTTGGCATTGGGCCAGGGCACCCAGGAAACGTTCTTTTTTAATTGAGGACCTCTCTTGGAAGAACGGCATGTTAAATTGATTCGCTCTCTTCGTCCCACTTAAAGGATCTCGCCATGTTCGACACCAAACAACAGATGATTGCTGACCCGTCACGCACTCAAATCAACCATCCGCCCCACAGACTTTACATCCAAGCTGCAGCCCGTGGGGGCAACTGCCTCGGCACTCGGGGCAGCGGAAGGGAAGCCGCCCGTGCGGACAGCCGCGGCAGATGGCGCAGGCCTTCGCACGGTGGCCATGGATGCCTCGGGCGGCCGCGCCGCACGGAGCGGGAGAAACCACCCGGAGGTGCGGCGCGGTGCCCCGGTGCGCAGACACGATCTAGTGGGACTGCCTTCGGACTGCCGCCCCAGACAGACACCCCCCTGGCACCACCACCCCTGGCCTGATTGGCAGTCCTATGGCAGTCCCATGGAGTGTCTGCGGTGGTGAACTTGGATTTTTGTTGGAACCCAATTAAGAGCTGCTGGACCCTGTAACTGTTCGAGCTTCTGGATGAAGTATGATGAAGTATGATAAAGATGCTCACTTCATTCAGGAATGCTTTGGATGCAAATAAGGAACATCATGGAACATCCAAATCGAGTCGCCAGCTTTTCGGAGTTCCCCATCTCAATCTTGCCGCGCTGAGCAGATGCTAAGCATCTGACAAAGTGCAGTACATTGCAGTACTATGCAGTACTATTATACAGTTGAAGGAGGACTGAAAGAGCAATTGGATTGATGAAGCTGAGGAACATGATACACATGCTCACAGGAATTTCACAGCTTTGTACTTCCTCATCATGTGGGGAACATGGCACCACCGAAAAAGGACATGTCGGTCAAGCTCACTACATGGTGGAACCATGGACCTACTAGGTTCTGACCCATCCCCAGATCTGTTCTCACCAGCTCATCATCTACCAAGAGAGGTAGCCAGTGACCATAAATAGGACCCGTCACCTGGGGTACCTATGGGATAGTCCATAGATGTCCAAAAAAACGGTTTCATCACCCGATCCATTGCAGAGCAGATCGGCGATAACTTGGCGGGGGTTCTTTTGGAGAGTCTCCGATCCGGAAGTCTTCCAACCAGCAGTTTCATCCAGCAGAGGTGGATCAGAACCCTAGCTCGACTATCCTATAGGTACTCCTGGTGACGGGTCCTAGTTCAGATATGTTCAGATCACTTAACCTCTGCAGGATGGTTGGTGTGGTGTGCTGAACTTGGGGTGCCATGGGGTGCCATGGGGGTGTCCCTGTCACCTTCAACATCGCCTCTAACAACCAACTGTTCGGTGGGTCAGGACCCGCCCTTCGACTCTCCCAGGCCACCCCAGGTGACTTCCGGGTCCTAGTCGGAACCGGTCACCGGCTACCTCTGAACATCCAAAGACTCAAAACCGTCCTTCCAAACTACCCAAGAGGGGTTGAGAGACCGCTTCACGTTCGGACCCTGGTCTGTGGTACACATGGGATGGGCGAAAAAGGGCTGAAACCAACCTCTCCAGGACTGGAAGACATCTCTTCCGCCACCCTCGGCCCCACCAGTTGACCGCAGGATGGCCACGATACAGGTCGCGACTCGCCATCGACCGAAGCTTCGGGCGTCCCCGTGACGCGATACGGTCGCGAGCGCGGATAAGACAGTGCGTTTCAGAGGTTCGATGGCGCCAGCGCACCCAAGATGTCTCTAATTATGGAGGTCCTCATCCAACACCTAACTTGGGGTCACTTGCGCCATCTACCCAACAGAGGTGGGTCAGAACCCTAGTTCGACATCTATAGACTATGCATGACTATCCCAGGCCAGGGTAATCCAGGTTTTCCGGGTCTACCTCTCTTGGACTCTCAGGGCCCACACCGCTGCCCTTCCGGTGAGCCTCCCTGGGATCCCACGATCAGTGCCGATCTCCCGATCTGCCGATCTGTCAGTCCAAGAGACATCGAGCCTTCCACTTGAGCCTCTTGATCTTTGGCCTCTCCCCACGCTTCACCATAGCCAGGTGGCTATAGCCTCGAGCTCGAGCGGAGCACAGGCCGAGCCTAACTGATGATCTTATGCCAGCAATTCCAAGACGGTGCCCATTATTGCTACGACATCTCCCTGCCTTTGATGCTTAAAAGCCACCCCTTTGCAACTGGGTGCAAGTCATTCCTTTCATACCACCTTCGATGGGAGGAGAGCTAGCTGTCGCCTCGGGATGTTTCTGGCATTGGAAAAAGCGGCGCGAACCCTTCACACGAAGGGCTGAAATCCACGGCCAACCTCGATTTCTGACATCCACGGCGGCCGTGGCGAACCAGGGCCATCATGGGCCATCACCATTCCAGTCGCCCTACTGCATGAAAGAACCGCAGTTGGTCATACACCTTCACCACTACGTTCCCACGACTCCATCGGAGAAGGAGGCCCGCTTTCGAGCGGTGAGACTGGACCTTTTTGGGGATCTGAAGAGAGGTTCGGTTAAGTGACCGTAAATAGGACTATACTGGGGTACCCAACTGGGATAGTCTATAGATGTCTACCAGGACCTTCCAAATCCGGTGGTTTTTGGACACCCCTTAACCTCTTAAGAGGCTATTTATAGACACCTCTTGGTTTCGGTCCTGGTATAGGGTTCTTCAACCTCTGTTGGTCAGCCCAGTGGCTCTTCTTCTCCTTCTTCTGCTTCGGTGGCCCCTTAGGCCGCTCGGACTCCTTCCACCGGTGAACGCACATGGCGAAGCGTCTCCTCGGCTTCGGCGTCTGCTGCGACTCCCTCTTACCGGAGTGAGCAAACCGGGCCGAAGAAAGGCTCAACACCGGAGGCGTACCAAACTGCAAACCCAAAAAAGATGGCTTTTTCGGAGTGCTCTGGAACTGCTGTGGGACCACGCGAAATGATCTGAATCTTTTTGGATTTATATAACTTCGGGGTGCTCGATGGTGTGAAGAGCTCTTCGATCGAACCCGAACCCCAAAAAACAGATGCCAGGGCTCCACTTTCCCTTGGGCGCCAACAGTGGCTGGCACTCTGGGCAAACCCTGCAACGTCGTCCCAAGCGTTGCGCGGCGGCCGAAGTAGGGCCGCGCGGATGCAGTGGCGCGGCCAGTTGCGCCCAAACGTCCGCGACTTCGCCGGACATGGCATGGCGAGAGAGGCGGCTGGCTGGTGCGTCTCAACCCTCCAAGCCTGTGTTGGCTGCTGGAATTCGGATGGCTGGTGCTTGAAAGTAGATTCAGAGGCTAGCCAGCTCAAGACCTGGCTGAAGAGATTCACCTCTGCAAGGGCCTGGTTGCATTTCGGAAATGGTGGGAGGGATCGCAGTGTTCAGATGTCTGCGGCCACGTCGTTGATTTGGATTCGTGTTTTCGCACGAAGGCTTGGGGCATCATGGGGGAGAAACATGGCTCAACAAAACAGTCACTTCAAGAACATCAGAGTGGCATCATGTTGGGTGGGAAGGACACTTTTTTGCACTGTCATGGATGATGGATCTGTGCTGTCATGGATCTGTGCTGTCAATTCATTGCACTCTTAATCTGTTCTTTGTCTATGCGTTTCGGGCATCTGGACATGTCCATGACGCTCATGACCAACCCGCCACCACCCTGAACTCCGACGTCCACGCGCGGAGCAGGGGGGGCCTCTGAGGCATACTCCCGGAACTCCGAAAGCACCTGGTCGATGTTGCGCTCCGAGGCCAGTTGCACCTGACGGCGCGCCCACCGCGCGCGGTCTGGGCCACACACACAGGCAAGGGCGTCGCCCCAGCCGACCCGTCCCGTCTTCGGGTCCAATTGGCTTCAATGGGGGCCCAGAGAGGTCCCAGTTCGAACTGGGTGATGGAAAGCATTTGGTAGAGAGAAGCCAGGGTAGACAGACACCCGACCACCTTCGAAGTCACCCGGCTGGCTTCACCCCAGCCCAGTCTCCGCCGACCCCAGATGATGGGGGAGCGCGTCAGAGAACTCTGCTACATCCGGCTGTGGCGAAGGAGATCACTGGGAACAGGTGTCTACCAGCCAGAAGATCCGTGGGAGGTGCGAGAACGGGTTCTGAGGACGAAGTTTGGGTCGTTTTTGGCGCGGAATTAGATTGTGG